TTTGTGGGGGGGGAGGGGGGGGGGAAGTTTTGGTTTTTCTTTCCTTTTTTTTTTCATGGTTTGATTTTCTGGGAGGGGTTGGGGGGTGGGAAGGCAAGTTGGGGGGTGTGGGGGACGGGGGGGGTTGAAACGGGTTGGGGGTGGGGAAGGGGGCCCAGTTTAGGAGGGGGGGGGGCAAGGGTGGTTTTGGGAGGGGAGGGGCGTCTTACAAAAAAAAAAGGAGAGGCTGTTAAAAAAAAAAAACAAAAGGGGGGGAACAGGGGAAATTGGGGGAGTTGTTTTTTTAAAAAAAACAGACCCTTGGGTTGGAAACTCCACACCGACTGTGCCCCCCATGGCCAAAGGGGGGGGGTGGGGGGTGTTTTGGGATTTTGGGGGGGCAAAAGAAAAGGGTGACGGGGGGTGGGGGGAGGGGGTGGGGGAACGAGGGGACAGGGGAGGGGGGGGGACGGAGGGAGGGGGTGACGGAGGGGGCGTGGGGGGAAAACATAAAACAACTTTTTTTTTTTTATTTTTTTTTTTTGTCAAAATTTTTGTTATTTTTGACTTATTTTTTTTTTTTTTTTTCGTTATTTTCAAACTGGCTTTTATTTTTGGTTTAAACGGGTTGAAAAAAATCACTTCTTTGTTTTTTTTTTTTTATGAGGGGGGGAAGAAAACTTTTTTTTTTTCTACTTTATTTAAATTCCAAAAATATGGTTTTTTAAGTGTTGGAAGGGGAGGGAGCTTTTGGGGCCCTGGTTGTGGCAAAGGTAAAAAGGGGGGGCCAGTTTTTTTTGTTGTCACCAACCCGGTTTTTTTTGTTTTTATTGGTGTTTTAACGGTGGTGATTTTTTACTTTGGGCCTGTGGGTTGTGTTTTATTTGTTCACCGGTTTTTTGTTTTTTTTTAGGGTTTGCTTAACAAATCTGTGTTGCTGGTTGTTTTGTTTTTTTTTTGTGTTTAAAACAAAACTTTCCCCAAAAAAACGTTTTTCCAAGGTTTTACAAGAAACAAATTCCCGGGGGACTAAGGGGGGACAGGGAACATTTTTCCAAGGGGGGGGGGGGAAATTTTTTCAAGGGAAAGTGGGAGGGGAAGAAAATTGGGAATATTAAGGGCAAGGGGAAAAAATCTGGGGGGGGGAATCCTCTGGACCAGGGGATTGTTCTTAAGAAAAAAAAAAAAACCCAATGGGGGAAATGTTCTGGGGGAAATGTTTTCCTTGGGGGGAAAAGTTTGGGGGGGCAAACCCCTTAAAATTTTTCCCATTTGTTTTGTTTTTTTTGTGGCATATAAAATAAATAAAAAAAATGGCAGTTTTGATTTTTTGTTTTTTTTTGGTTTTTTTTGTTTTGCGTTTTTACAGGGGGGGCCCAAAGGAGGGGTTGGGGGTTTTTTCCGGGGGGGACCCGGCGGTCCGGGGGGCTTCTTTTTCCCACCCGTTTTTTTTTTTTTGTTCCCAAAATTTTTTTTGGGCCCACACCGGGCGGGTTTGTTTTCCTTTTTCCTTCCTACGGGGTTTGGTTGTTGTCCCGCCAATTTGTCTTGCGGCTGTAGTAAAAAACTTTTTTTCCATTTTTTTTTAAGGGGGAAAATTTGGTGTTCTGGGTTGGTTTTGGTTGTTAATGTTTATTTGGGCTGTTGTGCGGGGAAAGGGGGCTCCCGCGGGTTTTCTTGTTTTTCCCACGCGGTGTGGTTACATTGAGTATGATGTGGGCCGTGGCCTTAGAGGGGCCAAAAAAAAGAAAACGGGGAAATAAAAGGAAATTTCTGGTTAACAAAAAAACCGGGAAAAAAAGGGCAACCAGGCCGGGGAGGATGTCTGTTTGCAAAAAGCCACAAGGGGGAAAAAAAAACAAAAAAACGCCCGGACCCCCCTGCTTTTTTTTTTGTGGGGCTATGGGGGGGGGGGGGAATGCGTTTTCCGGTGTTTTGTCCGTTAAAAGGCGGGGAGCGAGACGGCACCAAAGGAACGGGGGGGGTTCGGAGGGGGGGGGAAATTTCCCATGGTTCCCCCAGGGAGGCTGGGAGGGGAATTTTGCCCCCCAAGGGGGGGGGGGGGGGGGCCTTTCCCAACTTTTTCTGTCACCACCTTTTCTTCCCTTTCCCCCAACAAGGGAGAGGGGGGGGAAACTGTTTTTGTTTTTGTTCCCCTTTTTGCCAGGGTTGGGATTGGGATTTTTGATTGGGAAATCCATGGGAAAAAAAAACATGTTTTTTTTTCTTTCATTTTTGGGGGAAAAACCTTTTCAAAATCCCCAAGGGGGGGACCTTTTACAAACCTTAAAAAATTTTTTTTAAGTTTTTTAACCTTTATTAAGGGGGGGGATTTGGTTTTTTTGTAATGTTGTGTTTTCATGTGCCATTGCTTTTTTTTTTCTGTTTGTTTTTCGGGTTTTTTTTTGGTTGGGTAACCGTTGTGGGTTTCCTTTTAGGGGGGGGATATTTTTTTTTGAAAAAGGCGTTTAAAAAAAATGAATTGTTTTATTTTTGGTTTTATGTTTTTTTTTTTTTCCTTTCCTTTAAGGGGGGCCCAAAACGGATTTTTTTTCCTTGGGGGGGGGGGGTACACAAACACATTTGTTAAATTCCCCACTGCCCCCAAAAATTTGGACCACGCCAAACGGCCGGGGACAGGCACACCCCACTTTTTTTGCCTTTTTTCGGGTCTTTTTCACAGTTCAAGGGGGAGGGGGCAAAAAAAACATTTGGGGGGGGTTTTGTCAAAACACTCACTTTCCCGAGGGGTGGTGGTGCCGGTTTTACAAAAAATTCCCAGTCTTGTTCCCTTCCTGGGTTTTGTCTGACTGAAGGGGTGCAGGGGGGGAAAATTGGGCGGTGTGGGTGTGGGGTGTGTTGGGTTTGAAAAGTAAGTGGGTGTTGTGTAAAAAAAAAATGGTTGTGTGTTTTTTGGTGGAAAAAAAAATTTTAAAAATTTGGGGTGGGTTGTGTTTGTTGGTGGGAAAGCATTTGGGGTTCAAGGTTTGCGTCGCTAAAAAAAAAGAGTTGGTTTGCCAAAAACATTGTGGTTGTAAGCCCATCCATTTTACCCAAGGCTTTTTGCAGGTTGTGGGCGCGGTGGGTTTGACTTGTAAGGTGGGTAAAGCTGGAGTAGGAAAAAAGGTTAGGTAGGAAAAAAAAATTTTTGTAAGGGGTTAAGGGTTTTAGGAGTTTAGAGTTTGTAGTAAAGAGTTTCAGGTTGTAGTAAAAAGTTAGTAAGTTAAAAAAACCACACCCCCAAGGTTTGTTTGCAAAACTTCATAATGTGGTCTTGTCCCTGGGCTTGGGGTGGGTTGTGCCAAAAAAGGGGGGCCTAAAACAAGGGGGGGGATACAAAAAAAAAAAAAAAAAAAAAAACGGTATTTTTTTGTTTTTGAAAGGAGTGGTGGTGTGGGTTTCACCTTTGCTGGGGGCAAAAACAAAAAAGACCAGGAAAACAGGAAAAAAAAAAAACAAAAAACTGTTTTATGTGTTTTAAATGAGTTGGGGGGGGGGTCCCGTTTTTGCCTTTGTTGGGCAAAAAAAACGGGCAACAATTTTTTAAAAAAAAACAAAAAAAAGAAAAAAATGTTTGGTTTTTTGTTATAGTTAGTTTTGTTCCCCTTTGCCGTTTGGGGGGCCAACGGGGGGCAATAACAAAAGAAACAAAAAAACGTTTAAATTTTTTAATGTTTTTAAAAATTTTTGTGTCCCCTGGCTGGCAAACGTTCATTTTAACCCCCAGGGAAAAACCAAAAACAATAAAAAGTAAAAAAAAGGGGGAATTTTATTTGTGTTTAGTTTTGGGTCCCCCTGTTGCTGGCCAAAAAACGCCATTTAAACAAAAAAAAAAAAAAAAACAGGGGGAAAAAAAACCAAAAAACAAAACTGTTTTTGAAAATTGTTTTGGTTTTGTTTTCACCTTGCGCTTTTTGGCCCCAAAAACCCCACATTAAAAAAACCAAAAATTGTGTTGGTTTTTGGTTGTTTTTTTTTTGTTTTTTAAATAGTTGGGGCCCCTGGCTTTTGTTTTGCCAAAAAAAAAAAAAAAAAACCCCACAATTTTAACAAAATGCATTGTTGTGGGTTTTTGGTTGGTTTAATTTTTTTTGTAGTTGTTTTTGCTCCCCACGTGGGCGGGGCCAACCAAAAAAAAAAACCAACATTTTAAAAAACCCCAATTAACGTTGGGGCTTTTAAAAATTGTTAGTGGGGTGTCCCCCTTGGAGGGCAAAAAACAAAAAACGGCAAGAACAAAATTTGGGGCTTGTGTTTGTTTTTTTTTTGTTTAATCAAAGTGGGTTTTTTCACCCCCTGAGCAAACAACATAACAATGGTGTGGTTTTAAATCAAGGTGGTCCCTTGATTGTTTGTGCCCAAAACAACCTTAACAAAACCCAAATTTTGGGCTGTTGTTTTTAATGGGTGTTTTTTGGGTGGTCCCCCCTGCGTTGGGGCAAAACACATTTTTAAAAAAACCAATTGGGGGGATGTTTTGCTTTAATTTAGTAGTTCCCCCCTTGATTGGCAAACAAAAAAAAAACACACATTTTAAAAAAAACCAAACCCAAAAATATTGTTTTTTTTGCTTGTTGGGTTTTTAAAATGTTAGTTTTTTTTTTGGTGTTTCCCTGGTTTTTTGCTGTTTGGCAAAACACCTTTAAAAAAAAAAAACCACAAATTAGTTGTTTTTTTTTGGGGCCCGGTTGGGGGCTTTTTAAATTTAAAGTGGGTTTCCCTGGTTTTTTGGATTTTTGCAAAAAAAAAAAACAACATTCTTAAAAAAAACCAAGTGTTTTCGTGTTTAAATAAGCCGGTAGCTTTTTCAAGATATTGAGGATGGTCAAGTTTTTTGAGCTAATAGCTTGTAACACATTAACAATATTGTTGTTTCCAGGTACAGAGGTAAGGTTGGTTGTTTTGGGGAAAATTTGTTTTCCCAATTACGTTTTTTTTCTGTGTTGAACGGGGAAAAACACGCCAGAAAGGGAGAGAGCAAGGCAGCCAGAGGGCGGGGGGGGGGGGGCCCGTCCTTCTTCATGGTTGGCTCCTGGAGCACCATCTTCCAAGGTAGGGAGGAAGCTAGGGCTTTTGTGACCATTCAAAATGGCAACCTATTTACATATATAGCAATACTTAGAAACCAGGGGACAAATGGCAACCCATTTTCCCTACATTTAGCGGGCCACTTACTTTGACCAGGGGGGCCCACAACATTAGGGTTAGTTAGGGGAGAGTTCTTCACCAAGTGGCTATGGTCTAAAAAGTAGTGCCACTTATTGTAGGGAATTAGGGTTTGCCATTTCTATGGGTCAAAGCAGTGCCACTATATAGGGAATTTAAGCGGGTTTTTTGTTTTGGTTTGTTGTTGCCAATTCTCTAGGTCTTAATATTAGTTGCCAATACATTAGGGAATAATAGGGGTGGTTGCCATTCTTCTGGTCTAAAAAGTAGTGGCCACTATTTATTAGGGGGCATGGGTGCCATTCTTCTGGTGGTCTTGTAAAGAAGTAGTGCAAATACATAGGGGAAATTTCGGGGTGCCATTCTCTGGTCACAAGTATTGCACTTACCCATTAAGGGGGATAGGGTGACATTCTTTTGGTCCCTTTTAAGAGTCCTTATTTAAGGGAATAGGGTTTGCCATTCTTCTGGTTCTTAATGTTTTTTTAGTGCACTTACATAGGGAATAGGGTTTTTTGCCATTCTTGGTATAAAAACGAGTTGAGTGGCACTATATAGGGAATAGGGTGGCAATTTTTCTCTGGTTAAAGTTAATTGCACTTTATAGGGAATTTAGGTTTTTTGGCCCATTTCCCTCTGGGTCTTTTTTCTAATTGTAGTGGGCAACTTTACATTGAGGGAAAATTAGGGTATGCTTCTCTGGTTCTAAAGTAGTTGCACTTACATAGGGAAAGAGCCGGTGCATTTCTTTTGGGTCTATTTTCTAAAAAGTGTTTGCCCTTAATATAGGGATAGGGTGGGCCAGTCTTGGTCTTGAATGTATAGTTTGCCACGACATAGGGAAATAGGGGTTTGCAATTCCTCTGTCTCTTAAAACAGTAGTGCCTTATTCATAGGGGAAAAATGGGGCCATTTTCTCTAGTACTAAACGTTTTAAGTGTTGCCATATATAGGGGGAATTTTTAGGGTGCCCTTCCTTTCCTGGGTCTCTAAGTAGTGCCCAAATAGGGGAATTTTAGGGGTGCCAGTTCTCGGGTCTAAAAGTAGTTTTGCCATTATATGGGAATTAGGGGTTGCCATTCCTTTGGTCTAAAGTTGAGTGCACTATATTAGGGGAATAGGGTGGCATTCTCTTGGGTCTAATCGGAGTGCACGATGAGGGAAATAGGGGGTTTGTTTTTTTTGCCATTCCTATGGGTTTAAAAAGTAGGTTTGGCACTATAAGGGAATTAGGGGTGGCCATTCTTCTCGGTCTTCTAAAAGTTTAGAAGTAGGAGTGGCCCTATATAGGGAATAGGGTTGGCCATTCTCTTGGTATAAAAAGTAGTGCACCTATATGGGAATAAGGGTTGTTGCCATGTTCTCTGGTCTCTAAGTAGGGCATATATAGGGGGATAGGGGGGGTGCTTTTTTTGGCCATTTCTTAGGTCTAAGTCGTTTTTTTGCCTAATATAGGGATCAGGTGTTTTTTTTTGTTTTGACATTCCTCTTGGGTTCTAAAACAGTTAGTGCCTATATAGGGAAAGTTGAGGGTTGCCATTTCTCTGGTTCTAATCTAAACGTTTTTAGTGCCTATATAGGGAAAATTAGGGTTTGTTTGCCTGTCTCTGGTCTAAATCGATAAAAGTAGTGCACGATTTATAGGGGGAATAGGGTGCCATATCTGGGTTCTTAATGGTAGTGGCCCACTATATAGGGCATAGGGCTGCCAATTTTCTGGTCTAAATTGTAAGGCCCACTATGAGGGGAAGAGGGTTTTTGTTTTTTTGGCCATTCGCTAGGGTCTAATGTTAGTGGCCAACTATGTAGGGGGGAATCGGGTGGCCTTTGGGAGACACCCATTGTGTTTGGAAAAAAAACTTCATTCCCCATCTTTCCAAGGATTGATTTTCAAGGTGTTGTCTCTTGTGTTTCTCTGTGTCTGTGTGTGTCTGTGTGTGTGTGTGTTAGTGGTGTGGTGTTCTTGTGTCTGTGGGTTGTGTGTGTTCTTCTGTTTGTTCTGTGTGTTGTTTTTGTGTATTTCTGGTGTGATTGAGGTCTTGGTGGGTGTGTGTTTGCCTAGTGTCAAAACGTTTGTGTGTTTTGGGTGTGTGTCTGTTGTGTGTTGTGTTTGGTATGTTGTTGTGTGTGAAAACGTCCCCCCAAGGGACGGGACGTTTCCAAAAACGGCTTCTGGCAAAAAAGCTTCCCGCAAGTTGATGAGAAGCTCCGGGTTACCATGACCTTGGCGTTGCCTTGTGTGAAGAGGGACGACGGAGGGAGGGGGCAGGAGCAGAGTTCTGGAGCAAAAAAAACCTACCGGACTTGGCCGTGAGGGGAGGAGACGAGTGTGGATCCAACCGAGTTTCAGGAAGGGCTGGAATCCCAGGGAAAATTGATATTGGTTGGGGTGGGTGTTGGTGGGTTGTGGGGGTTTTGTTGCGTTTGGTTGGGTGTTGGTTTAATGGTGGGGTTGGTCGGGTTGGTTGGGTGGGTTTGGGTGGGGTTGGTTTGACATTGGGATTGGTTGGTGGGTGGGGTGTTTTGGGTTGGGTGGGGTTGGGGGGGGGGGATTTGGGGTTGGTAATTGATTTTGGGAGGTTGGGTGTGGGGGGTTGGGTTTGGGGGTGGGGTGGGGATGGTTTTGGGTTTGTGGGGTTGGTAATTTGATTGGTTGGGGGGGGGGGGTGTTGGGGTTGGGGCTTAGGTTTTTTCCTTTATTTTTTTTTTCTTGGGGGAAAAACAAACAATTGGGTTCATTTGTTTGGGACCAAAGAGTTTGTCCCTTTTAATTTTTGGGACCAAAAGTTGGGCTTTACTGAACCTATGGTCAAGCTTTTTCCTCCAAGGGGCAACTTTTTGCTTCCCCAACCACCATTGAATCTGTCTGTAGGTACTGGGAAAACACTCAAAACCGCCAAGGAGGTTTTTGGTTTTGTTGTTTGGTTGGAAGGGTCGGGGAGAGGGGAAAAACGAAGGCAAGGAAAAAAAACAGCTGTTGTGCCGGGACCAAGGGTCTGGTGTGTGGACAAGGATGGGGTGGGGGGGTTCTTTGGGTTTTGGGGGATGGCCAGGGGGGACCACCCACCCACCAAAGACAAAAAACCCAACCCCTCAAAAAAACCCCCCCCCACCACCCCCCAAAGAGGTTTCCCCAAAAAAAACTCAGGTTTTGGGCTTTTTCTTTGTTCTTCCATGGGGCCCGAAGCATTCAAGGCCATTGTTCTTGAGGGAGCCAAAAACAGGCCGAAAAAAAAAAACTTTATTTTTTTGCCAAAATTTTCACAAGGTTGGGTTTGCCAGGGGGTTTCTTTTTTGTACCCCTTTTTGTTAAAGGCCAAGTTTTTTCTGTCGGTCTTCGTATTGAGGGACTGATATAAAGGGAATTTGCCTGTTGTGATACCAAATTCGGTGTTATGTAAAACAAGTTTGTTTTTTTTTTGTTTGTGGGGGTAAAGGGAAGACCATTGAGAACGTGGCCAAAATGTGCCCTGCTCCTGTGTAGAGAACAACAAAAACAGTAACATATAACACATTATCCCAAAAACAGAGGTACTGGTGTGCTTGCCTAACCCCCCCCCCCCCCCTACCCCCCCCCAAAAATGGAGTAGTGGGTCTTTACCGATGTCCAGCCAACCTTTTGATACAGGATATAATATAATATAATATAATATAATATAATATAATATGCCATGCAGTGATGAGAATCAAAACAGTCACCTTGTAACAAAACGAAGGGCACTATGGTAGACGGCATCCAAAGGGTTAAGAGTAGTAGCAGCTGCACTTTGATAAATAATATCACCATAATCAGGAACAGATAAAAAGGTTGACTGAATAGTCTGCTTCCTACTGCTTAGAGAAAGGCACGATCTGTTTCTGTAGGAAAAGCCAACTTTAAATCTTAGCTTCTTAACCAGCTCATCTATATATTTTTTAAATGTCAAATCCATATCAATCCAAATGCCTAAGTATGTTAATGCAGGAACATGTTCGATAGGAGAACCAACTAATGAGTGAACATGCAGTTCAACTGAAACATTCTTACGAGAGTATAAAAACATGTATATCAATTTCTTTCTTTCTTGTTTTTTTCTTCTTCTTTTGTTGTAGATCAGCTTAATATTGCAGATAGATTGTATCTTCTATCAATGTAATTGTCTGCATCACTTCCAATCCCCCATGTTTTTTATATATATATTCCCCTTTATTACTTTCCAACCCTGCCACCTTTCCCTTCTTGGAGTAAACTAGTGAACAACAACGCCTAGGCCTCTACTTCCAGCCCATACCCACTATCTACATTTTATGGACACAGTCAATTTTACAATAATTATATTTTATTTGTTTTTGCTCCTGAACTTCTTCTACTCTCAACCTCTCTGATCATTTTCATGATGTCCATCCGGTTTGCTTCTATATGCCATATCTTTCTAACTGTGCTCTTTCACAAAAGCTCCCAACATACAACCTATATACTTATTACTTATTATGGACACAGTATGCTTACATTATTAGTTATCTTGTTATTAGTTGTTGTTAGTTGTTATTAGTCCCATCCTTCAGCTCCATTCAACACCTCCCATCTATCTCTTAACACCATCCATATAGGATTTCTATTTGCCATATATATTTCAACTGTACTGTGATGTTTTACAAAAGTTCTGAACCTTTCTATTCGCAATTGCTTCTACAGATTGTGAATTAAAAATAAACATTTTTGCTAAAAGTATTATTATATTATTGATCGATTGACTATGACTTTTCAGATCACCCAGTAATGCTATCTGCAAGGTGTCATGAGCCTCTCACTCCACCGGGTTACCACCTTTATTTTCTTCCACTCTGCTCACCACTCTCTCTACTCAGCCTAACTAGCTCCACCTGTCCCTGCTCTGCTCTGCTCTAATTACTCTGCCAGCTGCGCTGCATTACCCACTACCTCTCCCAGTATTTAAAGCCCTGTCTTTCAGCTCTCCTGTGTCAGATCGTCTGCAAAGCTCACACCCGGAACCTGTTTGCTCGCGCTTCTGGCTCACCCTGGTTTTGTGACCCCGGACCTGCCTGATTTTTGGATACTCTTCTGCCCCAGGAGATCCAGACCTGCTTTCTGCCATAACGACTCCTGACTACTCTTCATTCCCGGTAACTCTGACCAGCCTTCTGCCTTGCTACTACGTATTCTGGATTTCCCTTGAACTGTACTGCTGCCTTGTTTCATTCCGCCCTGTTGTGTCTGTGTCTCCCCCCCCCCAGGACTTCTGGACCACCCACCACCGGCTTCATAGGACGCATCGCTGCCACTGGGGGGGGCACAGACCCAGCACATTGGACGGGATCCCTGTTACCCCTGGAGCCTTCATTCACTCCCTACTTCCCTTTTCCCTTAAGTTTTAATAAACTTTCTGGTGTGACGCAATTGTGGTCCTCTGGTCGTCTGTCTGAACCGTGACACAAGGTTAGCTCCAGGTAAATATTGCAATCCTTTAGCCATTCCTGGACCTGTGTCCAAAAACAAGCTACAAATGGACAGAACCAAAACAAATGATCTAATGATTCTGTCTCTTCACAGCAAAATCTGCAGAGCTGGGAAGATTGTATCCCCCATATAAATAACATTCTATTGGTACCAAGAATTTGATATAATAATTTAAATTGAAAGATTCACATTTTTGAATCCGGTGTCGTTTTGCGTGTCAGTTCATAAACACTATGCCATGGGATCGGTACGTCAAAAATCTCTTCCCAACTATTTTGCAATCTATATGGGACGGCTGTCAATCCTTTGGTCCTTGAATGAAACTGGTATACTTTTTTATTTATCACAGTTTTCCTTAACCAATTATGTTCTTTAATGCGCCGACAGACAAGTTCCTTACTTTCTCCCCCTTCCACTTTCCTCTTCCATTTTTGCGGTAAGGCTGCAATTATTTGGTTGTAATTTTGGGTAGAGCAGACATTTACATATGTTTTTGTTAGCTGCATGTGCGACATAACTCCACCAGTCCTACCGATGACATCATTTACGAAGATTATACCTTTTTTAAACATTCTGTCAAAAAATAAAGTATTTTTGTCAATTAGTATATTTGAATTTAACCACAATATTTGTTGCATTATTTGTTCTGTCGTTTCTGGATGATTAAATTGAAATTGCAACCAACTTTCTATGGCTTGTTTTAGAAATAGTGATATTTGGGAGATGATTTCCTTTTCAAATAACTGAAAATGAGAGGTTGTGATCTGAATAAAGGGAAAAAAGGCCATTCTTGAAACATTGGGTGAGACAAGCTTACTAATTTGCTAGAGAACCAGTTCAGATTTTTAAGTATAACTTTTGTATGATGAAGCTTTTAATGATAGGTTAATGCTTAATATTAATATTTCTTGTCCTCCGAATTCTATTCATATATATAAATAGGGCCCTTTTAATTGTTGGCTTGCTGTTCCAAATAAAATGGAATAATATTTCTTTTCATATTAATCAAAAAACAGTTCGCTAGGCGTAGGCAAAGACAAAGCAAATTGTTTTATCATACACTTTTTGCCACCGGTAAAGTTTTAGAACACCTACTCATTCAAGGGATTTCTTTTTTTTTTTTTCTATATTGAGAATAAGTGAAGACATCAACACTATGAAATAACACAGTAGGTGACCGGGCAGTGTATATTATTTATTTTTTTCTTAGCTCAACTCTTAGCTCAACTGTTATCCTCTTGCGTAAATAAATGAAAGGGTATTTAGTTGGAGTCAACAATCCAGAACATTACATTAAAAAAAAAGAGACCATCCTTCACTTGAACATATGTTGCAAATGGTATTTATTTATTTGTTTGTTTGTGTTTTTGTTTGTTTGTTCCCCAGCCTGGAGGTCCTCCTGATCCAGAGCAACACTCTCAACATGTTTGGACCCGTGGACCTCAGACTCTACGGGAGGCTCCGAGCACTGCAGGCCGGACAGAACAGGTCTGTGTGTGCTCAAAAGTAGTAGTGCCCTATGTAGGTAATAGGGTCCTGCCTTATATTTATTGATTAGTCTGTATCGATTCTAAAATGAATGATCCCTGCAGCCCATTCTCCTTCTTCTTCTTCTTCTTCTTCTTCTTCTTCTTCTTCTTCTTCTTCTTCTTCTTCTTCTTCTTCTTCTTCTTCTTCTTCTTCTTCTGCTTCTTCTTCTTCAGGTTTGTGTGTTCCTGTGAGTTTGTCTCCTTCATGGTCTGGAGGTGGGGTGGAGCAGTAGAGGGCAGTGTTGAGCTAACAGACAGATTGGATAACTACCTTTGTGACTCACCGCTGCCCCTGCAGGTGATTAAAATATTTACTTTATTTACTATTATTTATTACTATTAGTACTATTTCTTTTAAACACTTTTTTATTTTTTTCACTATTTTATTCTTATTCTCTTCACTGCTTATTTTTACGTTAATCTCTTTTTTTTTTATCGAATACCTTTTCTACTTTTATTATCAAATGTAGTGTGAGGAGAGCTTGCAAGTAAGCATTTTCACGGTACTGTGTATACTTTGCTGTATCCCGTGTAGGGTTGCTAAAATCGTGTAACTTCCCCAAAAGTCCCAGGTTTACAAGAAATCCCGACTAGAAGATTTCCAGAATCAGGATGGAATAAGCAGGAAATCTGGGAATCCTCTGACCAGGATTTCTAGAAAACCTGGGAATTCTGGGAATGTTCCTGGAATTTTGCAACCCTAATCCCATGCATATAATAAATAATCTTTGATTTACAGGGCCAGAGGGTCGACCGCGTCCGGCTCTCACCGTTCCAATGCCACCGCGTCCTCCTCGTGTCCGCACTCTGCGGCTGTATACTCATTTCCGGAATCCTGTTGGTGATTCTGCTGTGGAAGCTCCACGCGGTGTGGTACATGAGTATGATGTGGGCGTGGCTTAGAGCCAAACGGAATTCTGGTAACCGGAAGCGCCGGGATGCAGCAAGGAACGCCGACCCCCTCTGCTATGATGCGTTCGTGTCGTACAGCGAGCGAGACGCAGAGTGGGTCGAGGAATTCCTGGTTCCAGAGCTGGAGAATTCCCAGCCTCCACTCTCCCTCTGCCTCCACAAGAGAGACTTCCTGCCAGGTTGATTGATTGATTGAATCCATGACCTCTTCATGACCTCATCCCCCAGGACCTTAAAATACTTCTTAGCTTGTTAATGTTTTCATCCATTGCTTTTTTTCTGTTTGGTTTTGTTGTACCGTGTCCTTAGGATATTTTGAAAGGCGCTTTAAAATGAATGTATTTTGTTTAATTTCTTTCTTTAGGCCACTGGATCATGGACAACATTATCAATGCAATGGACCGCAGCCGACGCACACTCTTCGTCCTGTCAGAACACTTTGTCCACTCCGAGTGGTGCCGGTACAATTCCATTCTGTCCTGTCTTACTAGTGTGCAGAATGGTCGGTTAAAGCATTTCAGTTGCTTAAGATCAACATGTCAGCATCATTACAGGCTCATGCTGGTACGATAGTTGGTCATGTGTCTAAGTTTTAATTTTTTAAATTTAATTTTCTGTCCTCCAAAATTCATATTCTTTAATAAATGGGGCCTTTTTAAATTTTTTTTTGGCGGGCTGCCAAAAAAATTGAATATTTCTTTCCATAAAAAAAAAAAAAAAACAGTTCGCTAGGGAGGCAAGACCAAAGAATGGGGAAACTGGGATAATACAAAAAGGGGTTTAATAAGGGTGTTTTTTCCAAAAATTGCCCAGTATTTCCCTTTTCCATGGTAGCAAGACTTATTTTTTTGCAATTTTCTATTAACTTTTATTGGAGTGAGTTTCATTTTTTCCTTTGGGATATATTTCCGGGTACAGTGGGGGAAAAAAGTATTAGTCACCCCCAAAAATGTGCAATTCCCCACTTAAAAAGAGGAGAGAGGCCTAAAAATTTTTCCAAAAGGGTTTAAACGTAAAACCCTATGCAGAAAAAAAATGAGAAAAAAAAATCCAAAAAAACCCACTTGTAGGTTTTTTAAATGTTTTTGCAAATTATGGGGGAAAAATAAAGTTTTTGGTCAAAAAAAAAGTTTTCAATATTTTGGTTATAACCCTTTTTTGGCAATAATGACACAGGCCCAAAAACGTTTTCGGAAATTTCCTTCAAAAAGGTTTTAACACACTGTTGCGGTTTTTTTTGGCCCTTTCCCCCATGAGATCCCCTCTAGACAGTGATTTTTTGGGGCTGTTGCTGGGCAACACAGACAAAAAACTCCCTCCAAGATTTTCTAGGGGTTGGAGATCTGGAGACTGGTTTGGGCCCACTCCAGGACCTTAAAATGCTTTACAAAACCACTCCTTCGTTCCCGGGGGCGGGGGGTTTGTTTTTGGGATCTTTTGTATGTTTAAAAGGGACCCAGCCCACTTTTTTCACTTAAATTTCCCCTTTGTGAGGGGAAGGGGGTTTTCATAAAAACCCCCACGAACAGGGCCCCAATTTATTTTTTCCCTTTTTAAAGGGAATAAGGGTTTCCGGGTTTCCCTTTGCGGGAAAAACCCCCCCAAACCCGGGATGTTTCCCCCCCCAAGGTTTCCCAAGTGGGTTTAGGGTTTGTTTTTTTGGGAATTGAAAATTCAGCATTTTTTGTCCCCAAACAGACGAGTTGATTTTTTCCCAAAAAAAGTTTTTTTTGGTTTCATTAACATATGACACTCCCAATTTCTTTGGATCTTAAAATGCACTCAGCAAATTTAAAGAGGGCCGGGGACTTTGTACTGGCTTAAGCAGGGGGAAAAGTCTGGCACGGGCGGGTTTTGAGCCCCGGGGGCGTAGTGTTTTTACGATGGTAGGTTTTTTAAACTTGGCCCCCAAATTTCCTTGGGGTATTCACTGGGGCCCCCGTGTGGTTCGGGGGGTTTTTTGCTCACCGTTTTGGGTTTTTTGGGGAACCCCGGGGGGGGAGATCTTGCATGGGGGCCCCAGATCGAGGGAGTTTTTCAGTTTTTTGTATGTCTTCCTTTTCCTAATAAGCCCCCCAAAGGGTTGATTTTTTTCAAACCAAGTGTTTACCTATTGCGGATTAGTTTTCCCCAGCCGGGGCGGTCTACAATTTTTTTTTGGGGGTTTGCCCTTTTGACAGCTTTTTTGGTTTTGGCCATAGGGGATTTGGGGAAAAGTGTGACGGGTTGGGGGTTTGGGGACAGGTGTCTTTTATATGATAAAAGTTCAAAAAAGGTGCCAAAATAAAAACAAGTGGTGAAAGAGGGGGGCCTTTTAAACCCGAAAGAATTTAAGGTCTGGGGAGGGGCCCAGAAATTTTGCTTTTTTGAAGGACCAAATCTTTTTTCCCCTTTAATTTGCAAAAAAAATTCTTTTAAAAACCTTAAAATGTGATTTTCTGGTTTTTTTTCCAAAATTTGTCTTTTCATATTTAAAGTGTACCTATGATAAAAATTCCCGGGCCCTCTCCATCTTTTAAGTGGGAGAATTTCCCAAAATTTGGGTGGGGGACAAATATTTTTTCCCCCCACTATATAACTGACCAAATTATGAAAGCCCAAGCATGAAATTTTTGAATTCCTTTAAAGTGAGGGGGGGAAAAAGGGTTTTAAAACAATATTTTTTGCCTTTACCAGACGGTGAGGGAAATGGTCAGGATGCTCCGATTTTTACATTTCTTAATTTTTTTGGGGGGAATCTGGGGGGCCCCATGCCAAAATCTTTTCAGTCCCCGGGGGGGGAATAGGTTTTGTCGTGCCCTTCACGACTTTTTGGGGTTTTTGGGGACCTGATAGTTGGTTTTTGGTGATGTGGACCCCAAAGGGAAAACTTGGAAGCTCTGACCCGCCCCCACTGCACCCCCAAAGATTTTTAAAGGGGGGCCCCGGTTCGCCCCAAAATAATTTGAGGGACTCCCCCTCGGGTTTGCAATGATGTGTTTAAATGATTTGTGAATGACTACCTATTATGACCCCAACATAAAAATTTCGGTAAGGTCCCTCAGTCTGGGCAGTGAATTTCAAACACAGATTAAAAACCACAAAGACGAGGGGGGGGTTTTTCCAATGCTTTTAAAAAAAAAAAAGGCAAAATATTTGGTTTGATGGGTGGTAAAAAAAAAAGCAGACTTTAATATCCCCTTTTAGCATGGTTTAAAATTATTTTAAATTCCCCTTTGGGGTGCGGTTTTCTATACACCCGTCAATACAAAGGGGCCCCAGGGGTCCTTTATAATCAGTTTTTCCGGGGAAAAGGAAGGAAAAAAAAACTTTAGGGATTTCAACATTTAGGGCCCCAAAGGTTTACTTTTAAAACCCCCTTTCAGAGGTTTTAAAGTTGTGATAGGAGAAAATGAGGATGGATCAAAAAAAAATTTTAGTTAACCACAATAATTTAACCCAAATGAAGAGTAATGACTCCCGTTTAAAAAACCCATTGTAAATTTTTCTTTACGTTCCAATATTTTTATGGAAAAGGGAAAAATTTTTAATATGGCAAAATGTCCGGATTTAATTTAAACCAATGATTTGATTCACCCCAAAATATTTTTTGGGAAAGGGGTCTCCAAACAAAATACTTCCCCAACCCTAAATAATAACAATTGGGCTTTAAAAAGGGGGGGAAAAATTGGTGTATTTAAATGGGGTTCCCCTTTTCCCCCAATATTTTGATTTCCCTTCTCTCCAGGGTTTTAGTGGTTGTCGAGAAAAATTCAAAAGAAAAAGGTACACCAAATTTAAAAAGGGAAAGGCTTTTTTTATAAAGTATGAAAACCCCCACTTTAATGAAAAAATCCCCGAGGGGAAAATTTGTTTTGGGTAGCAAGTGGGGGGTTTTCAGCGGCTGAATTAAAAATTTTTTCAGCACGCAAGGGAAAACCCGCCGCAAAAACCCGTTAGCAACCCGATTAAGGTTTAAATTGAAAAAACCAATACCCGGGAAAGTGCGTAAAGGGAAAAGGGGTGCGAGGGGAAAAGGGCCCTTTGAGCCCAAAATGAAAGGGTTTGGATATTCCTTTCTATTCAAATCAGCAATCAGGAAAAGAAAATTTCTTTAAAAAAAACAGAACAAAAAAATTACTTCTACCCAAACAAAAACAGGGAAAATTTCTTTTTTCCCCAAACAGAACAGAAATTACTTCTTTCCCCTCAAAAAACGGTTTTTTCTTTACCTCAAACCGTTTTTCTCCAACAAACTTTTAAAATTTCTCTACCTAAACAAAAAAAACTTTCTACCACCAAGAATACACCTTTTACTTTAAACGTTTCTTCTAATTTTAACAAGGTACTATTTCTACTTAAATACTACTAATACTACTACTAACTAAAATACTATACTACTACTACTTACTATACTACTACTACTAAAAAGGACTATACTACTCTAATTTCTACTACAATCTAATGCTTACTACTAAATAATAGAGACACTTACACACAAAATACATAGGGAAAACTACTCTCTACTTTTTACCAAATCCCCAAAAAAAATAACTTTGACAAAAAAGTTTAGAAAACCTAGGCCACTATAACCCTTAAAAGGGGCAAAACCCCCCAAAAACAAAAAATTTTACTTCTAATAAGGTTTCCCTATTAAAAAACAAAAACGAAACCTGACCCAATAAAGGGTTTCACTTAAAACCCCCAAAAAATACCTACTATTTGATAATACACTATAAAAAACCCCACAAAACAAAAATCCTTTCTATCTAATGGTTACTATAAAAACCCCCCCCAAAACCCCCCAAAAATTTGTACTATAATACAATATAAAACCCAAAAAAGAAAAAAAATACCTACTACTAATAATACGGGGTAGGTAAAAAGGCCAAAAAAGTTTTCCCTTTAAATCAATTAAGGTTTTTTCAAACCAGTTAAAAACCCCCGCCAAAGAACCATTGGTAAACCCTTTTAATAGGAGGTAGAAAACCCCCAGAAAAAACAGTACCCTTAGATTAGATAAAGGTTTTAAAGGGGTAGTAAAAAAACCCCGAAAAAACGAACCATTCCCATCTAGATAAGGTTAGGGAGGCTAGTAAAAAAAACCCCCAACAACAGTACCATTAGTATCTAGAAAGGGTTGCAGGTAGTAAAAAACCCCCCGCAAAAAACAGACCCCTTTAAATATTAGATAAGGGTTTTGCAGGCTAGTAAAAACCCCAAAACAACAGGAAACCCTTTTCTATTTTGATAAGGTTAGCAGGTTTGTAAAAAAACCCCCGCAAAAACAATTTCCATTTGCTACTAGATAAGGGTTTGCGGGAGTTAAAAAAACCCCCGCAACCAAAAAGATTTCCATTGCATCTAGAAAGGTTAGCAGGGGTATAAAAAAAACCCCGCAACAACAGATACCATTAGCTATCTAGGGTAAGGTTAGCAGGCTAGTTAAAAAACCCCCGAAAAAAAACAGGTTTCCATTAGGGTATCTAGTAAGGTTAGCAGGTAGTAAAAACCCCAGCAACAAAAAAGATACCCCAAAAATATCTGATTTAAAGGGTTTGCAGGCCAGTAAAAAAACCCAAACAAAACAGGGTACCCATTAAACTTCTAGTAAGGTAGAGGGTAGTAAAAACCCCCCGCAACCAAAAAAATACCCCTTAGCACTAGATAAGGGTTTGCAGGCTAAATAAAAAAACCCCAGCAAACAAAAAGATACCCTTAGCTATCTAGAAAAGGGTTAAACCGGTAGTAAAAAAACCCCCGCAACAAAAAGATACCCCTTTGCTATCTTTGATAAGGTTTGCAGGCTAGTAAAAAACCCCCGCAACCCAAAAGATACCATTAGCTATTAGATAAAGGGTTTGCCCGGTAGTTAAAAAACCCCCGCAAACAAAAACCCCGATACCCAGCTATCTAGATAAAAGGTTGGGAGGCTGTAAAAAAACCCCGCAACCCAAAAGATACCAATTTGCTATCTAGATAAGGTAGCCGGCTAGTAAAAACCCCCCGCCAAAAACAGATACCCATTAGTAAGGTTAGCAGGCTAGTAAAAAAAACCCCCGCAAAAAAACAGATAAAATGCTCTAGGGTAAGGTTTGCAGGCTAGTAAAAACCCCGCAACAAAAAGATTTCCATTGCTATTAAAAAAGGGTTTTTAGGTAGTAAAAAAAACCCGCAACAACAGATAACCCTTAGCTATCTAGATAAGGGTTTGCAGGCTAGAGGGAAAAAACCCCCCAAAAAACAGATACCATTAGCTATTTAATTTAAAGGGTTGAAAGGTAGTAAAAAAACCCCCGCAACAAAAAGTACCATTAGCTTCTAGAAAGGTTTGCAGGCTGGTTTAAAAAAAACCCGCAAAAAGAAACCATTTGGATCTAGTAAGGTTAGCAGGCTAGTAAAAACCCCAGCAACAACAGATACCATTAGCTATCTAGATAAGGTTAGCAGGCTAGTAAAAACCCCAGCAACAACAGATACCATTAGCTATCTAGATAAGGTTAGCAGGCTAGTAAAAACCCCAGCAACAACAGATACCATTAGCTATCTAGAAAGGTTAGCAGGCTAGTAAAAACCCCAGCAACAACAGATACCATTAGCTATCTAGATAAGGTTAGCAGGCTAGTAAAAACCCCAGCAACAACAGATACCATTAGCTATCTAGATAAGGTTAGCAGGCTAGTAAAAACCCCAGCAACAACAGATACCATTAGCTATCTAGATAAGGTTAGCAGGCTAGTAAAACCCCAGCAACAACAGTACCATTAGCTATTTAGAAAAAAGGTTAGGGAGGCTAGTAAAAAACCCCAGCAAAAACAGATAAAATTAGCATCTAGTAAGGGTTTGCAGGTAGTAAAAACCCCCGCAAAAAAACAAACCATTAGCTATCTGAAAGGTTACAGGCTAGTAAAAAAACCCCCCCCAAAAAAAAACCCCGATACCATTAGAAACCGATAAGGTTGGAGGCTAGTAAAAAAAACCCCCGGGAACAACAGTACCATTTGCTATAAAAAAAGGTTTAGCAGGTAGAAAAACCCCCCCGCAAACCCAAAAGATACCAGAGCTATCTAGATAAGGTTTGAAAGGGTAGAAAAACCCCCGCAAAAAAACAGATTTCCATTTTGCTATCAGATAAGGTTAGCAGGCTGTAAAAACCCCCGCCCCAAAAAGATCCTTGTATTAGATAAAGGGTTTGCAGGCTAGTAAAAACCCCCAGCCCAAAAAAACAGAACCTTAGCTATTTAGATAAGGTTAGCGGGTAGTAAAAAAAAACCCCAGGGAACAAACAGATACCATTTTGCTATCTAGATAAGGTTAGCAGGCTAGTAAAACCCCAGCAACCCCCGATCCCATTTGTATCTAGGAAAAGGTTTCAGGCTAGGAAAAAAACCCCCGCAAAAAAAAGATACCATTAAACTATCTAGATAAGGTTAGCAGGTGGTTTAAAAAAACCCGCCAAAAAAAAGATTTCCATTAGCTATCTAGGTAAAAGGGTTTGCAGGCAGTAAAAAACCCCCCCAAAAAACAGATACCATTAGTATTAGATAAGGTTAGCAGGGATTAAAAAAACCCCGACCCCAAAAAAGATACATTAAACTCTAGATAAGGTTTGCAGGCTAGAAAAAAAACCCCGCAACAACAGATTTTTCCATTAGTATCAGATAAGGGAGGGCTATAAAAAACCCCAGAAAAAAACAGATACCTTTGCTTCAGTAAGGTTAGCAGGCTAGTAAAAACCCCAGCAACAACAGATACCATTAGCTATCTAGATAAGGTTAGCAGGCTAGTAAAAACCCCAGCAACAACAGATACCCTTTGGATCAGATAAGGTTAGCAGGCTAGGGAAAAACCCCAAACAAAAACCGATAAACCCAAACTTTAGATAAGGGGTTTGCAGGTATAAAAAACCCCGCCCAAAAACAGATACCTTTGCTATCTAGATTTAAAGGTTTGCAGGGTAGTAAAAAAAACCCCCGCAACAAAGTACCAAATTTGCTTCTAGATAAGGTTTTGCGGCTAGTAAAAAAACCCCCGCAAAACAGATAAAATTTGCTATCTAGAAAGGTTAGCAGGGTAGTAAAAACCCCCGCAACAACCCCCTACCAAAATTTGCTATCTAGATAAAGGTTTGCAGGCTAGTAAAAAACCCCCGCAACAAAAAGATCCCTTAAACTATCTAGGGTAAAGGTTTTGCAGGCTAGTTAAAAAACCCCCGCAAAAACAGATACCATTAGCATTTGATAAGGTTAGAGGCTGTAAAAAAACCCCCGCAAAACCAAAATACCAAATTTGCAAACTAGATAAGGTTAGCAGGCTTTGTAAAAAACCCCAGGGAAAACAGATACCATTTGCTATTTTAGATAAGGGTTTGCAGGCTAGTAAAAAAAACCCGCAAAAAAACAGATACCATTAGCTATTTTAGATTAAAAGGGGGGCCCGGGGTAGTAAAAACCCCGCAACAACCGATACCTTAGCTATCTCCCATAAGGAGCAGGCTAGGAAAAACCCCCAAAAAACAAGGGTACCATTTGTATCTAGATTAAAGGGTTGCAGGCTAGTAAAAAAAACCCCCGGCCCCAAAAAAGATACCCCTTTGTACTAGATAAGGTAGCAGGCTAGTTTAAAAAACCCCCGGGAAAAAAAACAGTACCCCTTAAGCATCAGGTAAGGTTAGCAGGCTAGTTAAAAAAAACCCCGGGAACAACCGAACCAAATTTGCATCTAGAAAAAGGGGGGCGGCTAGTAAAAAAAACCCCCGCAAAAACCGATACCATTTGCTACTAGTAAGGTTAGCAGGCAGTAAAACCCCCCGCAACAACAGATTTCCATTAAACTATTTTAGATAAGGTTAGCAGGTAGAAAAAAACCCCCGCCCCCAAAAGTACCCTTAGTATCTAGGAAAAGGTTTGAGGTCGAAAAAAACCCAACAACAACCGAACCATTAAACTTTAGAAAGGTTTGCAGGGTAGTAAAAAAAACCCCGCAACAACAGATACCATTAGTATCTAGATAAAGGGTTTTGGGGGCTAGTAAAAAAACCCCCGAAAAAACGATAACCCTTAGTATCTAGATAAGGGGTTTGCAGGATAAAAAAACCCCAGGGGAAAAAAGAACCATTTGCATTAGAAAAAGGTTTAGCAGGCTAGTAAAAACCCCAGCAACAACAATTTCCATTAGGGGATCTGATAAAGGGTTTCAGGCTAGAAAAAAACCCCCGCAAAAACAGATCCATAGCTATCTAGATAAGGGGTTAAAAGGCTAAATAAAAAAACCCCCGCAACAAAAAGATACCATTAGCTATCTAGAAGGTTGAGGTAGTAAAAACCCCCGCAAAAAAAAAGGGTACCATTAGCTTTTTAATAAGGGGAAAAGGCTGTAAAAACCCCCGCAACAACAGATACCATTAGCTATCTAGGGTAAGGTTAGCAGGCTTAGTAAAAAACCCCCGGGAACAAAAAGATACCATTGCTTTTAGATAAAGGGTTTGCAGGCTTTGTAAAAACCCCCAAACAAAAGAACCATTAGCTATTAGTAAGGGTTTGCAGGTAAATTAAAAAAAACCCCAAACAACAACAGGAAACCCTTAAAATATTAGATTAAAGGGTTTGCAGGCTAGTAAAAAAACCCCGCAACAAAACAGATAACCCCTTAGTATCTAGATAAGGTTTTGCAGGCTATAAAAAACCCCCGAAACCAAAAAGATTTTCCAAAAATTTTCTAAATTTGATAAGGTTAGCAGGCTAGTAAAAACCCCGCAACAAAAGATACCATTAGCTACTAGATAAGGGGAGCAGGTAGTAAAACCCCAGCAACAACAGATAACCATTAGCTTTTCTAGAAAAAGGGTTTGCGGGTTTGTAAAAAAAACCCCCGCAAAAAACAGATACCCTTAGCTATTTGATAAGGTTAGAAAGGTAGTAAAAAACCCCCGCAAAACAGAAAAAAAAAATTGCTATCTAGATAAAGGGTTTGCGGTAGTAAAAACCCAACCCAAAAAAGATACCATTAGCTATCTAGATAAAGGTTTGAAAGGGTAGGGAAAAAACCCCAGCAACAACCCCATACCATTTGCTATCAAAATAAGGTTTGCAGGGTAGGGTTTTAAAAAAAACCCCGCAACAACAGATCCCCTTGAATCTAGATAAGGTTTTGCAGGCTTTGTAAAAACCCCACCAAAAAAACAGATCCATTTGCTATTAGTAAGGTTTGGGAAGGGGTAGTAAAAAACCCCCGCAAAAACAATACCCCTTTGCATCTAGAAAGGTTAGCAGGCTAGGGGAAAAACCCCGGGAACAAAAGATACCAAATTGTATCTAGATTTGGGTTTGCGGCTAGTTAAAAAAACCCCCGCAAAAACAATTTCCAAATTTGCTATCCCAGATTAAGGTTAGCAGGGGGAGTAAAAAAAAACCCGCAACAAAGATACCATTAGCTATCTAGAAAGGTTAGCAGGGCTAGTTTAAAAAAAAACCCCCGCAACCCAAAAGATTTCCATTTTGCTATTTAGATTTAAAGGTTTGGCCGGGTAGTTTAAAAAACCCCCGCAAAAAACCGAACCATTTGAAAATTTGATAATTGGCAGGGTGTAAAAAAACCCCAGGGAACAAACAGATACCTAGGATCTGATAAGGTTAGCAGGCTAGTAAAAACCCCAACAAAAAAAGATTTCCCTTAGCTATTAGATAAGGTTTGCAGGGTAGTTTTTAAAACCCCCAGCAACAAAAAGTACCCTTTGCATCTAGATTAAAGGTTTGCAGGCTAGTAAAAACCCCCGCAACAAAAAGATACCATTAGCTATTAGATAAGGTTAGGGAGGTGTAAAAAACCCCGCCAACAAAAATAAACCAAATTTGTATCAGATAAGGTTAGAGGGGTAGTAAAAACCCCCCAGGGAACAAACAGATTTCCATTAAACAAACTAGATAAGGTTAGGCGGCTGTTTAAAAAACCCCCCCGAAAAACAGGAAAACCATTTTGCTAATTTTAGAAAGGTAGCAGGCTAGGGAAAAAAACCCCAGCAAAAAACCCGAACCATTAGCTATTAAAAAAGGTTTGGGGGGGCTAGGAAAAAACCCCCGCAACCCCAAAAATACCATTGCTATCTAGAAAGGTTAAAACAGCTAGTAAAAAACCCCCCGCAAAACCCAAAAGATACCAATTTGCTTCTAGTAAGGGTTGAGGTTGTAAAAAACCCAGCAACAACAAAATACCATAGCTATCTAGATAAGGTTAGAAAGGTATAAAAAAACCCCAACAAACAGAATTTCCTTCCCATTAGATAAGGTTTGCAGGGGAGTTAAAAACCCCAGCAAAAAACAAAAACCATTAGCTATTAAAATAAAAATTAGGGGGCTAGTAAAAACCCCCCCGCAACAAAGATACCCCTTAAACATCTAGATAAAGGGTTTGAAAGGGTAGTAAAAACCCCCCCGCAACAAAAAGATAAATTAGCTATTAGGGTAAGGTTAGCAGGTAGGGAAAAAAAAAAAAAAAAAAAAAAAAAAAAAAACCCCCGGCCCAAAACAGATACCATTAGCATCTAGATAAGGTTGGGAGGGGTTAGTAAAAACCCAGCAACAACAGATACCCTTTGCTATCTAGATAAGGTTTTGCAGGCTAGAAAAAACCCCCGCAAAAAAAACAGATACCAAATTTGCTATCTGAAAGGTTAGCAGGCTAGTTTTAAAAAACCCCCGCAACACCCGATACCATTAGCTTCAGAAAAAGGTTAGCAGGCAGTAAAAACCCCAGCAAAAAACAGATACCATAGTAAACTGATTTAAGGGTTTGGGGGCTAGTAAAAAAACCCCCGCAACAAAAAGATTTCCATTAGCAAAAAGATAAGGTTTTGCAGGCTTTGTTTTAAAAACCCCAGCAACAAAAAATTAACCCTTTGCTATCTAGATAAGGTTAGGGAGGTAGTAAAAACCCCCAGCAACAAAGATACCATTAGTATCAGATAAGGTTAGCCGGCTAGTAAAAACCCCAGGGAAAAAAACAGATACCAAAAAATTTTAGATTTAAAGGTTTGCAAGGGTAGAAAAAACCCCCGCAACAAAAAAGTACCATTTTGCTATCTAGATAAGGTTAGCAGGCTAGTTAAAAACCCCCCGGGAACAACAAAAACCAAAAAAACATCTAAAATAAGGGG